ATGACGAAGTTTTTGATAGCAAAAAGTATAGCTTCAAGTGACAGTATCACTGAGAGATATAATTTCCTGAAAAAAGGAAGGATTTATCATCTTGACTTTAATTAACTCTTTGGCAGTGCAAAAAAGAGTTCTTCACCAGATATGACATTGAGAATATGTTGAGGAGTTGAGGGGGTCAGTCCAGTACAACGCTTCAACATTCGGTTTTCAAATGCTTGTATACGTTTCTCAATATATTTTGGGAAATTGCAACATGTGGAATGTCCAAATTCAATTTTGGACCTGACTAGAGATTTGTAAACGGTCAAAGCATTTTTGGGAGGCAAGCCTGCCTGATTGTTTGTCATGAGTTTGATGATGTTGCATCCAGACTGACAATCTTTGAACGCCTTTTCATAATGCGCACGAGAAATCGAAGAGATTTTACCTGATTAACTTGGGTACCTTTGATAAGAAGTCTGATTTCACGTTTAGAACCTTTGGCAAAATAAATAGTGTTTGTCTTGCTAGGGTTAAAATATAAATTAAGATCAGCGCATGCATCGAAAAACAAGTTCGCTTTCATCGAGAGGTTATTGACAGCTGCTGGAAAAGATGAGTCCGCAGATACGATTAGAAAATCGTCTTCATATTGAAAAATGTGAGTTTTGTCATCTTGAAGATCATGCAAAGAAGCTGCGTATAAATTGAAAAGTATGGGGCTTAAACAACTGCCTTATGGGATACCATCACATATTTCAACTTTTTCGGTACCCATCACCAACACACGCTTGGATAAAAAATTAAGTATCCACAGCCGCATTCGAAGAGAAATCGAAAAGTTAGGAGAATTCTACCGAGCTTAATCAAGTTGACACAGTCATAGGCTTTGCTGATGTCCAGGGAGAGCATGACAACCATTTTCCCTGCTTTTTTTAAGCTGGCTATGAGAAAACAGAGTTCATTAACGCACATATTCGTAGATTTGCGTTTTTGATAGGCGTAAGACCGAGCTGGAATAATGTTCTTAGTTTTCAGGAAAGCAGTTAGGCTCTCCTTAACCATGAGGTTGATGGTCTTTATGAATACAGATATTAGTGAAATTGGTCTGAAGCTCCTTAAGTCATTTAAGTCTTTACCTGGCTTGGGAATGGGAACTATTTTGATGCAACGCAAATCAGAGGGTATAAAGTTGGTGGACCAGCAGTTGTTAATTGCATGCAAAAGCATGCTAAAGCTTCCTCCAGACAGTGCTCTGAGCATGTCATACTTGACTTCATCACAACCTGCAGCAGTAGCTCTCTTTCTGGAATGTAAAGCATACATTAGCTCATGCAATGAAAAGGGTGCGTTACTGATACTACTAAAAGGAATTGAAGGCATTGTAATAGGATTAACAATTGGAACGTAGCTCTTGAGCATATCTAAGTATTTTTTATTATCACGGTCATTCCATACAGCAAAACCATTGACCATTGATATAATTCCAGAAGGAACGTGGGTTGCCGTTACCACATAACTCTTTAATAGCGATGGCTCTATGTGCCCTTTTCGCCTTTTTAACTGCAGACCTCCATTCTTTCAGTATTTTCATATATTCAATGTAGTTGGTTGGATTGGCATATTTACTCATTTTTTTTCTTGCAGCTTGGTCTTTGCGGAAAAGTGTTGACAGGGAAGGATTCCACCAAGGTTTAGGTGAGAAGGACTCAATGTCAGGGAAGTTGGTTCTAGCAGACATGATCACAGACTGAAAGGCACTTTGAATTGATGATAAATCAGAAGGAAGATCAACTTTAGATAGACGGTCCATAAGGAAGTTGCGTGAAATGAAATTTTCTATTTTCTTCACGGAATTGTTACAACTGTGGAATAAAATGGGAGAGTGCTGACTTTTGCCAATGGAAACATTGGACATGTTCCAGTTCAAAGATAAAATAGTTGAGTTCGAGAAAGTTAGATCCAAGACACTGCTCGCCGTGCGACCGCTCCGTTTACAGTGAAAGGTAGTATTGCCGTTATTTGAGACACTGAAACTGCTGGAATTGATGGCATTTACAAGGATTTTGCCTTTGTTGGTAGAGGCTTGATCGCCATACAGGCGGTGTCTCGCATTGAAATCTCCAGCTAGAATCACATTTTGTTCACCGTCAAGAAAGTCGCGTACTCTCTGAATCTCATCACGAAAGGTTTGCACATCCAGACTGGGTGGAAAGTAGCATGAGGCTATGAAAAGATTCGGTTTCAGGTTGATGGTTTTGATGATGATGATGTCAACGGCAGAGTTATAGGGAATACGTCTGAAATTGACACCTTTCTTAACTAATATACTAACACCACCATAGCCATTATTTCGGCATTTGGTGGCTGAGGCATAATTCGAAACTGTAACTTCGAAACAATTTTCATCTTTCGGAAAAACTTCACTTAAGATACAAAAATCAATCTTGTTTGAGTTTAAGTAAAAATCTAGAAAAGATCGTCGGACACTTTGAATATTATATTGTAAAAAGGATATCATGTTGAAACTTGAGAAAGAACCCCAGCGGATTTCTTCGCAGTACTGGATGCTCGAACGAGGCAAGAAATAGCACAGACAGACATTTTTTCTTCAAATTCTTTAATAAGATTGTGAGGGATCATCGGACGGATACTTTCTTGAATCGCGAGAATTAATCTTTCAAGTTCTGAAGACCGCAAATAGTTGCTTGAAATTTTCGGTCCAAGAAGACTTGTTCCAGACGACTTGGGGGATGTATTGGGAGAAGGCTTGGTGGGTGAATTGATAAGAGATTTGGAGGGAACCAATTTGCTTTTGACGACAGCATTGTATTTATTTTTGGTTAAGATTTTGTCGGCATTTTGATTATCATCCTTGGTCGAAATTGCAGACGTGTTCCCCAGTGGAGGGAAATTGCCGTCATAAGTGTTGTCATCGAGACATTCGAAATAATTTTCGGAAAAATTCTCTTTGACCCCTTTATACGAAAGATTTTTAATCGCCATTATCCTGTTGATGTTTAATTCAATTTCCCTATCAGGGCAACACTTATTGAGAGCGGTGTGCTCACCTGAGCCACAGGACAAGCACTTCATCGTCTCACAATTTACACACTTCGGAGACTTTCCACAGTTAAGGCACCTGCTCTCTTTAGCTTTGCAGAATTTAGATACGTGACCGTATCTGCCACACTTAAAGCACTGCTTTAAGGTGGGTACAAAGTATTCGACCGGCAGATTACAATAGTTAAATTTTATTGCCTTAGGGAGGGCTCTCCCTTTGAAGCCAACTTTGATGCTGGTTGTGGGAAACCACTCGTCTTTGTTGTTGGGATTTCTTCTTTGGAAACGGACAGCGGACTTAATCGGAATATCGGATATGGCGTTTTTAATTATATCATCGTCACTATATGTGCATGGGATGTTTCGAATAACTCCAAATCTCTCAGTATGTACGCTTTTAAATTCTTTTTATTAAATTCATTAATCATAACAAAATTGTTGGCATTGGCAGCGGAGCTGAAAAGCAGTTTGGCTCTACCCCTGCTGACAACTTTTAATTCTTTTAAGCCGTACATACCGAAATCCTTCAAGTAATCATAGAAATAGAGATTGGAGTTAATATTGATGCGATTTCCTTCTGCGTCCGCGCACGTTTCGACAAAAACGACAAAATTGCAGTTGGAAAGGCAATCGTACAAATTAATCTCGAGATTTGGGGCGGCTGTGGCACCCAAATCAGAGGGCTTGTCGGTAGCTTGTTTACTAGGCGGAATTAAAACGTTTGCGTTAGCCTCTCCGTTATCAGATAAAAGAATATTATTCTCACCCATTTTCAATCTCTTGGTGGGCCCAGTGGCGTTCATGTAAAAATTTTCAAAACAGTCTCTATTAGTAGTTATAAGATCAGACCCAGTCTCCATAGGGAGACGGGCTGATGTTGTTTTGGTTGTTATCACAGGGAACACAAAAAGAAAAAATCACAAAGAAAAAACAAAAAATAATAATTGAATATATGTATTGCTTCTTAATTTTTCTCTCACGAGAGATTCCTCCTCCTTCCCTCCTTTTCCTTCTTTAAAATTGTTTTCTTTGGTTATTTTATTACTTTATTAAACCTCTTTTCCTTTTCTCATATTTAAAATCTTTCTTCTTTTTTTTTTTTTCACTAACACCGGTAAACACAAAAATTATCCAGCTGCAGTTTGCGGAAATGACGTGTTGTGTCAAGTGTGAATGAAATACGAATGGAATTTTAATATATATCATTTTATTTTTGTTTTATTTAACATATGAATTTACGTATCAAGAATAAATATTTTGAACTGCAAATCAATCCTACATTTGCGCTATATATATATATATATATATATATAAATAAAAGCCATCCTTCTCATTTTCATAAAACATCATAGAGCTGATTTATTTTTTATGTCCTTTATTTTCCGTATTAAATTTGAAAGCGCAGTAAGTAAATTTTGTTCTCAATTTGCTTTATTTGTGGTCTACGACTGTTTTTTCTTATAAATAAAGCGCTAAACAACCAATACTAACGCAAACCGTCAGCAATTTTGCTTATGCCGGTTTTGACAATTCTGAGATAGCGTTTCTCGCGCCTATTATACATACATAAAGCTCGAAAGTGAAACCTAGCTAACACCACACAGAATTAGTGCCTGAGATTTCTCCATTATCTCAGCTGGTACCAATACGGAAAATTATTCACAATTCGCTGTTAGAAAAAGGGGAAAAATACAGTCAACGTAATATGATGTTACATTTACGATGTTATGATCAAAATATTTTCAAATATTGGTCAATATTGTAAGTTTCTCGTTGTCTATCTTAATACTACCAAGCAAATTAAATTTTATTTCTTTTTATGTCGTGCTTGACATTTAGCAGAGGGATACTTTTTGTTGAGTTGCATCCTCCACATTTATGCATTACTGCCCTAGTTTCAACTGACAGCTGCCACCCCACCACAATCAAACTAAAACTACTATAATAATTTGGTAAAAAACTTCTTTGGCTATATTTAATTCGCATTTGCAGTTGAAATATTTTAATTCTTAATTTATATTTTTTTTCGGGCGAAAAATACTTATTATTAATCGCAATCACTTGTGTTTTTTCTATCAAGTAAGTATTAATATAAGCGTGTTTATCTAGTTTTAGTTAAGATTTATTCTTCGTTTTTGCAGTAATAGAGTAGAGTTCTTTCATTAACACAGGAATCTATGTGTTCAAAGTCTAAATTGAATTAAATTATATAGATAAATATAAAGTATCTTCACGTGCGTTTTTATAACTTGAAAAAATTGTTCAATTAGTCCAAGTATAGAGGTTGTTGAAATTTGAGATTTATATATTTTTGTGTTCTAAAGTTAAATACAATTTTCCGTTTTCAGTACATCAATATGGCATATATATCTCGTTTTACTATGCTTACGCTGCCCAGACTATGTTCTATTAATTCGTCAACATTCGTAACACTTCAGAAATACTCGTATGTATTTATAAAGACTGAGGCTGTTTTTGATAATATTCCTAAAAGTACAATTGCTGCTGGTAAATTAAAAAATTTTTTACATATACCTATGACTTAAGTTTAACTAATAATTCCTATTTTTTCATAAATGGAACCAACCGCAGTATTTCCAGTTAACTTTGTTAGATCCGTGACAACCAAAAAGGTCTTACTTACTAAACCACAAAATTGTAGATATTCAAGTTTAAGTTCAGCAAGGTCGTCAACGATAAATACGCCATATGTAAGCAAAATACGCCAAACTTTACTTTAAAGCGTCATCTCCTTATTTATGCGCTTACCATATCATTCATAAAGTGTAAATTCCGATTAGAGCTATCTATTGTTAAAATATTCAAACTAGTTGATACTTCGAACGCTATCAATTCAATTCAATCAGTTCATTGAAAACGTGAATAGACGGCTGGAATTGAGTTTAATGTCATGAAGTCATTCAGCTTGTAAATGAATTGATGAACAAGATTGAAAATGTGATTTTGCTAACAAAACAAACATTAGCATTACACATACATTTGAAGTTACTTTACTTGCCACCCGGTTAGTCAACTTTTAAGCTATTTAACAAGTGTAGAACTTAATAAACGGGACAAAATCACTGCCTTCATCAATTTTTAATTAATGCATTCAGTTTTCTTCAATAACATTAATGGATTCATGCAGTATTCATTGCGTTTTTAAGAACTGAAGAATTAAGAACTGATATTTCAAAAAATTTGGTATATTTGTTTGATAATCGCTTAAAACCCAAGTGAATATTATGCGTTGCAGTTATGCATTATGAATTCAAGAAATGATCTGTCTATCTACTTTTGTTAGAAATTTATGAAAGTCTGTTTTATCAATCTTACGGATATATTTCAGAAGATGACAGAATTCGATAGTCGACGAAATTTTCTCGTACAAGAGATTACCAAAAATCTGATACTTTTTACAAACAAGTCCTTGAAGAAAGAATTGAACATTAATACTCTCGAGTAAGTACGACGAAATGTGGTTTTCTTATTTTTAGTTACACTTGAATTGCTTAAATGAATATTTTAGACTTAAAGCAACAAATACAGGTCCCCTTGTGCTAATGATGGCCTGGCTAATGGCTAAACAAAAACATTTGAAAAATTATGCAAAATTTTATACGGATATGGGCTTCGATGTACTAGTGGTTCAAATCTCACCGTGGCAATTGTTATGGCCTACAAAAGGCGCTCAAGTTGTTGCAGCCGATGCCATAAAATTTTTGGAAAATAATACATCATACGGACCTATTATTGTACACGGCTTTTCAGTAGGTGCCTACGCATTTGGGGAAGTTATGTTGCAGATGTCTGAAGATATGGATCGGTAGCAACTACTTACAGATTACAAAACAAAGTGACCTAATAATTTTTTTCAGATATTCTCATATATTAAGTAGAATTTGGTGTCAAGTTTGGGATAGTGCTGCAGATATAACAGAAATACCAATTGGTTTACCAAAAGCAATCTTTCCAAAAAACCAACGTATGCAGAATGCTTTGCGGAGTTACACACTGCAAGTTTTGAATATGTATAAATTGCATGTACTATAACAATTGTTTTTTATAGTTATCATTTAAAGACATTTCATAATCAAGCCACAATACACTATATGCGCTCTAGTCAAATGTTTCATTCTACCATTTTGAAGAAACCTGCTCTTTTTTTTGTGTCAGAAAATGATCCGGTTGGGCCACCTTCATCGAATAAAGCAGTATGTAAAAATTGGGAACGTGCTAACATTAAGGTGACATTTCAATGCTGGCAGCATTCAGCACATGCCGCTCATTTCGTGAAACATCGTGACGAGTACATCGGGCTTCTTGTTAAACATTTAGAAGAATGTGGGGTTTTAGATACGGTTATTATTAGAAAGTATGCTAAATTATAAAAAAAAGGTAATGAAAATGATAAGAATTTGTTTCCTTTTTACAACCTGGACAATTTGTGTGTAAGGATGTATTAAGTTCGTGCGGAGTTGTATAACAACCGGAAGGTTGTAAAATATGTAGTTATACCGAAAAATCTGTTTTATCAATTTAACATTGTCCGCTTGTTTGATGCCTGTCCAAGTAAGTTAGGTTTCTTTCATGAGATAAGGTAATCAATCCATTAATATAAGAAGATATCGCCGTGAATATATTTAGTAAACTTAAATTCGAAAAATAGCTACCTGTGTACAATCAGCAAGCAAGACCTGGAAGAAGGCATAAAAGGTTGTGACATTTTAGGTTTGCCTTTGGGTTTGTCTAGGTGACAAAAAGTGCCGAGGACAATTGTTGCATTTACCTTGCAAGAAATAAGAGAAGAACCAACTGATACTGGAGGCGAAGAAAAAAACCTGACTGCCTTGCTCTTCAGATTGCGAGTGATGACGAGTTCTAATAACAACTTTGAGTTTTTTATGTTTGATGCATGAATTTATTAAACATGCTGAGAAATAAAAATCCAAATTGAAGTTAACATATTGATTTTCATTTTTTCGGCTAATCTTCTTAATTGGGGAGGCGTCCGGAAGGACAACAATGGCGTTATCTTGTTAAGTTGGCCATGTTTCAGTGTTTAAATCTTTTTATAGAGTATTCCTATTTTCATCGAATTATAACTGTTCTTTCGATCCTCTTAACAAAACAAGCCCTCGATCTCGAAAACCAAATAAGCTTAATGTAAATTTCTGAAAAATAACTATATTGTTAACTTTTAGGCGCCTCTAAATAATGTGACTTGCATTGCAATGATTACCATTGTATTGGGTTTTGTTGCCTGAAATTATTTGAATGATACAGGTACGTAGTACTTTAATTTTTGTTACTGCTTACCAAGAAGCCAAGAATTCAGTCTAGTTTCATTTCAATAAATCATGGGAATGTTCCTACATATACAATTCATGGCATTATCCCGAAAATATAAACTTCACTGCCATCATTTTCATTTCATGATCGCAAAGTGTCATATGTGCGTGTATGATGAAATACACGGATATGCAGACTAACTTACAAGCATTCCGTTTATAATACGCTCACCTTTTCCATTAACGTAGACTCCTTCGTTTGGCGAGTTCCATCGGTGCATCCAATCGAATTACATTAGGAATATTTCAGTCATCGTTTATTATTTTGTTACATTGTTACAGATGTTACATTGTTCTCAGTAACAAAAAGGCGTTCTCACACTGAGGGAACGCCAAATTTAAGCCAAACTACGTCTTTTATTCGATAAAAGCTTGTACGATTTTGCATTTCAACTTCTTAATTCTTTAGAATTAAATTCCAGAACCTTGGCAGATATTTATGTTAGATACGGTGATTGCATGTTACTGCGCCGAGATATTAACAAAGCAGTAGCAATGTATATTCATACAAATGGCGAAGTATTGCCTTTTAAAATTATTATGAAATTGATAGATTTGAAGTACAAGGAACACTTGATAAAATACTTGCAAGCTGTAACGAAAAACCAATATGGTAGCCAGGCTCATGAGGAACTTTTGCGCTTTTGTTGTAAATGTCTTCATCTTCCAGTAAAAGTTAAAAACATTTTTGAATTAAATTTACAAAAAAAAAGATCAAATAGATTATCTTGTCATTAATAGAGAAGTTTCAAATTTAAATGCTTTAAGCAAGGTAGTATTTGATATGGATAAGAAAGTTTTCAACTTTTTCAAAAAATACGCTGGGTTTTTAATAATTCAGTATCCCAAAATCCACGAAGTTATCACAACTCTCAGTTTAGAAATGCCATGCGAGCCTATCATCCAGTACCTACTTCCTATTTTCCTTAAAGCTGATGAACGTTGTCTAGAGCTTCTACACATGTCCAGTTCCAAGGGAAATCTTAAAGATATGTATAGTATTTGGCTAGAGTTGCTTTTACGTAAATGGTAATGCTAAGAAATTGATGTTCTTAAAGTGCTCGATTTTTTTTAAGGTTACAAAGAATATTTGATAGACACAGACGTACTTATTATTCATAACTACTTGGTTTTGCAAGAGCGTAAGCCTGTCTATACGATCGGTACACGAAGGAAAGATTACATCGAAGAAGGTGAGAAACGCCTACGAAAATTAGGCTCAGAAATTTATCGTACTAATCGAGGTGGCTTAATAACTTTTCATGGACCTGGACAATTGGTTGCTTATCCCATCATACATTTGCACCAATTCACACCTAACATGACAACTCAAGACTGCCTAATAAAGGGCTGTCTAGGGCAGGTTTTGGAAGCATTTAGGCTATTTTTGAGAGAGTTGCAACAGACCACGGTCTCATTTTTTGAAAAAAATAAATAAACCCTCAATGTTCGCTGATGAAATTGTAAAGGTAGCCTTCTGACGAAAGCTTCAGATTCAGTAAATGATCCGTTGGAATTTGTTGATTTAGCAGCTGTATCGCAATTGGCGGTGGCTATTAATACTGAACGTGACTTTTTTACACCGATAATGGCCATCAGAGCTGTACAATACGATGTATTTGATCGGATACCACAAATTTTTGCTCGCTGAGCCTCCTTTGTTGCTGCTTATGGTCACACGCCGCACTGCTTGAAAATGTATCCGAATATACTAATATCAAAAATTATAAATATGGCTGAACAATTCACTCCTGGCGACTGCTTTCTCATTAGTCGTCGGCTTTATATATCGTTGGAATTGGGATAATAGAAGTTAGTAAAACAGAAATTAAAGTGATAACCGCCCTGTCTTTTAGATATCGCTATCAGATAACCCCTCTGCCTATTTGAGTTATTTCATTTTCTGTGAGAAGACCATGTTATCCTAAGCTCCGAGGCGAATGATTGCTTGTATTGCACCGAATTTTTCTTACTAGAATGTACAACAACTCAGTAATACAGGGCTAGAAACATACTTGCGATATTCGATGTAAAGTTGAACAAAGAAGTTGACACCATCTATGCACAGGTGCGAAGGTAAAGCATTCCCCAAAAACTTATATACGCATTATTATGCATTAACTGCAATCAAATTTTCCGTAAATTACCACAGATGATATAATAAAATGTGGGGCCATCTTCCCATCACCCCTTTTCGGTGTTACGTACGTCCGCATTTACATAACCTTATATAGGGTAACCTAGAACAAACTGGTATGTCAGTAGCTACCTCAGGCCGTGGTCTAGCTTTCGTAATCTATCCTCAGACCATAGCGATGCTACCGTTATCTCGGATTTGGGAAACTTTACTCTTTTTAATGCTTTTCCTGCTTGGCTTAGATATTGTGGTACGTAGTGTATTGGGGTTGGCCATATTGCTAATATTATCTATTAATCTTTTTAATGCAAAGTTTGTGCAAATTGAAGCAATAATAAGTTCAGTGCTTGATGAACTGCCAGCAATAAGATGTTATAAATATTTGGTGACCTTAATATCTTGTCTACCATGTTTTCGTTTTCTATAATTTTAGTTACTCAAGTAAGTGGTTTTATATGTATAGAAAATATTTATGCCCTACATTACTTGTGCGAATGTATGCACAATAGGGTAATGGTATTGATTTTGAATAAAGTTTGTAAAATTGCAAAGACAAAAAGAAGAAGAAATTGAGATCTCTCTTTTAACGGAGAAGTATTGATTAACCAACCGCCCGCTCTTAGAGGATTTCGCTTGTTAAACTTGTATTAAGGGTCTGCACCAAACTATTTTGATTTTTTAGACAATCCAATCTTGACTTAAAACGGTCCACGTAAAGGATTAAGACTTAAACGCCTACACTTCCTTATTCCGGTTCCTATTTCCCGTATTTACAATTAGATAGCTTTATAACCGTTACTTATAGTTTTTTAAAAAACCTCCAATGTTTCCATATTTGCTAAACACAGTAGTGCGTATAAGAAACGCCCTAGTGGTTAACAATAATGGAAAACCAACAAAAATTAAAAGTAATCTACAGATCCTGGATACCCGTAAACTTGAGAAATATATGAATGGTAAAACATTTACTTTTAATTGCGCGCTGGCTCTCGAGAACAATCAAGGCTGATTTCTGGCGAGGTAGACCATACTTTATACAGTAGTAATAAAATTCCGCTTGTACCGTTGGGTAAAGGCTTACGCATAATAATATGTGTGCTACTTATAGTTGAAACATATTAACATGCTTATATAGGGAAACTATGGATCGGTGGCAACGTAAATATATTACGATATGTAACCGTTAATCCCTAATTAATAGGAACAGTTCAATAAACTAGTAGTAACTTACAAATAAAGAAGTGAGCGCTTAGGAATATGAGTTTGCTTGCAGGAAGCTTAAGTAAATGTAGAGTGTACTACCTTGTTATGTATATGCCTATGTATCTAATATTCATAAGCATATATTTATAAAAGCTTTACACCGACATATGTTTAGAAACACAGACAAAGAAAAAAATATGCATACAATTTATACAAAATATGCCGACTACAAAATGTTTATAAGAAAATTCCATACTCTCACATAATTCAAAATTCGATACTCTTATATAATTCAAAATTCCGCACCCTCATATAATTCAAAATTCCTGTGTCGCCATAGTGTAGAGAAAAATATAAATACAAAAGAGAAGGTGTTTTACACATCTTTAAATTACGCTAAACAAATAAGCAAAAGAAAGGTACTTATACTTATACGCGGACAGACCAGCTACTTTTAGGCTTTGTATGGTTACCAGTAAGGGACACTTCGGATTATAGACGGACGATTACGCAGACAGACTTTTTATTGATAAAGCAGAAAACCGCCTTCGTACAAGCATTAAAGTGTCCACTTATTAACCAGAACATATAGAGAATAAATTGTTAAAGATATAGCCTGAAACAATACAATTAGGTCAAATGTAGCAACTTATGATCAAAAGCTCGCCAAAGGATATGTGAATGGTGCAGCTACAAGCTTCAATAGGATCAAAGTTTAGAAAACTTGAAAGATAGGAGAGTGAAACCTTGTTAGATATAAGGACCGCTACACCACCGCCGTAAGAAATGTCGGAGTTACGATCGAATCTAACCGTTTTGTAACGTTTGATTGAGAATGAATCATGAGATTTAAGAAAAGTTACGGAAAGAATTGCCGCAGAAATATCGTTACATATTGCTCGAGTTGTGTGATTTTATTACGGACACTGGCGCAGATAAGTCGAACTATCTTCATTATTGACAAGGAGTGGAGTAGAAAGCGAAGGGGAGGACGATTGCTGATTAAGAATAGTATTTTGAATATCACGTATTGAACGTTTCGCAAAGGTATTAGTAGACTTCGCTTTTGAAGAATACTTTTCACATTGTAACTTGTTTATAAATTCAGAAATCTGAGATGTTGAACTGGAGATATTAATAGAATCAATACTCACTTCACGATCTAAGGAATATTTATTTGATGGGAAAGCCCTTGGGATCGGTATTCAATGGCTT